GGGGAGGGGAGGGGAGGGGAGGGGAGGAGAGGAGAGGAGAGAGGGAGGAGAGGAGAGAGGGAGGAGAGAGAGAGAGGAGAGAGAGAAACAGGGGGAAAGAGAAAATACGTAACTTATCTGTGTGATGTGCATATGGAAGGCAGAGTTCCTCTCCAGTGTTGTTCCTCGGCAGCTCTCTAAGGTGCTTTAGAGGAAGGGTCTTTCACTGGCCTGGAGCTCACTAACTCATCTAGGATGATCAGCCAGCAAGCACCAGGGATTGTCTATTTCCTCCAGTTCTGAGGCTACAAGTACATGCCACCACACTCAGTTTGGTCTGTTGTTGTTTGGGTTTTGCTTTTGTTTGGTTTCATTTTTAATGTGACTTTTAGGCTTGAAGCAAGAAGCCAACATGCACGTGCAGTGAACGCTTTACCAGCTGAGCTGTCTCCCAAGCAGACTCGGGAAACTTCAAGGTCCTCGTTCCTGCAGCAACATCCCAGGCCCTTAATCTGGTCATTCTAAATGTTTGGAAATAAGGCCTCAAAGATAAATGCATTAAAACTCTCTGGAGACTGAGGTCCGGGTATCTACTTAGGAAAGTCTGGTGTGCTGTTTTGCCAGAATCCAAACAAAAGAAAATTTGGTTTACAGGTGTTATTGTTATGGATTCTGGTAGGTCATTCTAGAAATAAGCCTTGGCCATCTTTTATTTTCCCGGAGGTTGCTTTTGTGTACATCAAGCTTGTGCATTTCTGTGATCGTTAAATGTATTCTGTGACTTGGATTGAAGGGTATTCAGGGATCCACATGAAAATAAAACCAGACGCACTGTAACCACTATTGTGATATTTATCACTGATGGCGCTCACATGACTCTGGAGCTCCATAAAACCCTGGAGGGGTTACCTTCACTTAATGGTGTCCCTTCCCTTATACTCGCCAGCTACTTCTTATTGCAAACAGCTGTTTGGGAACGGAAAAACGTTTGCTATTTCCAAGGGACTCTGTTGGCTCTCCAAGCCCTCTACTCATTGCTGTTAACAAATGTTTAAGCTTAATCAAATTGCTCATTCTAAACAAAGAGCCAATCTCACATTCTGAGTCACAGATTCATGAGACCTACTATGCACCTGAAAGAGAATAAAAGGAGCCAGGGTTCAAGAGCACAGGCACACACACAAGGGGAATTGTGCAGCTCTGATGTGTTCAGGGCAGTCTTGTGATGTTTCTGCTACCCTAGCTCATGCCTACCCTCTCCAGCTTCTAAGGGTACCAGCCGATGTTCCTTCTAATGAAGGCTTCCCTGAGCTGGGTTAGCATGTTCCTCCAAAATAACCCAGCGAAACTACATTAGTACCAAAGTAAGGGAGGAAAATAAGCATCATATAAACTTTATTAGCACTCTTTACTATGAAATAAACTAGACTTACACTTCTTTTGGAGGGGAAAATGATGAACACAAGAAAACATACCGTATTTTTACTTACTAACGTGCACTTGTAAAGCGCGCGGCATGCTGTTTTACAGGCAGTAGCATATAAAATACTTTTTCCAGATGTGGATTCATAATTCTCCAAAGACTATAATAGTTATCATAAGATTTATGGAGGATAATTTATTAATCACATTTTTTTTTCCGTTTGGAGATCTGCTTGGTAAGATGAAAGCAAACTTTAAAAACACCATTTTAACCAAATGTAGATGGCATACTATCAAGTTACTCCTTTTGTTCAAATTATTTTTAATGACTTTATTTGCTTTATTGCTTACACGAGTCAGGACCAACTTGGTGGTAATGATCTCTTCAGGAAATCTCTTAACATTTTTTTTAAAAGTAAAATAGCATGGAGCTATTTTAAAAACTAAATGAACTGAACTGTGTAAGTTAATTACTGTTCGTTTATTTGAGGGACATATGAGCTACAAAAACTTGGTTTTGCTTTCTTTCCCCCCTTTCTGTTTATTTCTTTTTGTAGGTTTAGAGAAGAAAATGCCTTTCGAAACTGTAGCTTACTGAACGTACCTGCAGCTTCTTCAGCAGAAATGTAGAAGCCTA